TTTTTTCAGTCTGTTTCATTTTCCATCTGGTGCTTAAAGGAATAGTTCAACATTTCTTCCTACAGGGTTTTTGAGAAGGTTGATACCATTGTCATATCTGTTTGTAAACATGAAGCTACTGCTAGCAGCCAGTTAGCTTAGCACAAAGACTGGAAACATTAGCTAATAGAGCTCTGTCAGAAAGTAACAAAAACTTTCTACCAGCACCTCACTAAAGCTCACCAAATAACACTAAATAATATCTTGCTTGTTTAATCCATGTAAAAAAAAGGGTATATAGGGTATATAGTCCTGGCTAAGAACTAGTCTTATGACTGGTGGTATCTAGTGACAGATAATCCACAGACATTGTCAGCAGTTTAATTTAAAAAGCTCCAAAGAAAATGTCCAAAGTCAGGTCTTGTATTATTCAGAGCAAACAGGACAATGTTTCTTGGAAGATAGGTCTAAAAAACCTGGCCATTTACAAGATACAGTATTTGCATGGATACAAACTGTTTGTGGTGTGTGAATATATAAGTATTTTTTTGTATTATGGATGAACAGCTAGTGAAAAAAGGCTGTCTGGGATGAGTCATTAGCTTGCCTCACTGAATGTTTAGTTCAGGTGTTGTTTATGCTGTGTGTTAAAAGTAAAAAGCATGATTAAAAGAAAGTCCCAAGCCAAAAGAATGTCCCAAGATAACACTGCCTGGCTCACAGGTCCAAAGGATAACAACTCACATTGCTTTCTTACCTATTTTTGTCACAACAGCACAGAATAAGAGCCTAAATACATGATTTCAATGATGAGCTAACAGGATAAGTTATTACCTGTACTGCAGCGCAACACTGAAAAAAATCCAGCCTGTCAGAAGAAGCCATTAGTATACTAACTGTTGTTTAAAAATGTCAGTTCCGGTAACAAAAAGTGAATTCTATGACTACATTTTAGCTGTGCATGCTTCTTTGTGCAATGATATACATCACCCGCAGCCCAGCGCTGGTTCTCTGCTCCCATGGCATGTGATGGATAATCAGTATGCCCTGCATATGTACTCGCTCTGCTATTTTGAGTTAAATGTGATGCAGGGGATAAAAGGAGATCAGGTGATAACATTGAATGTTCTGGAGATTAGGGTTACAGTTTCCATTCCTGTAGCAACCCTGGCCTCCTTTCACTGCAGGGCTTAGTGATACTCATACTCTGAATTTGTCTCTGTCTCTCACATCAATGCCTTTTGAAGAGCTTGTTTTATTTCCTCATGTTTTTTTTATCAATACTGAAATCAATCCCTGCTATAAATGTCCAACATAACACGTTGTTTAGTCTCATATGGAGTCTCACACATGAAACTCCTGAAACATAGTATAATGTAGCTAATTTCACTACCAGAATGAAGAAACTGAGAGGATTTCTGAAGTTGATTTGCACTGAAAACAAGAAAAGTTTCCCATCATGTGGGATTTTTCACTTGTTTTGAAAAACTTAATGCATGACTCAATGAGTGACTCATCTACAGATATTTACATGTAGTCTCCCACTGGGACTTGGCTTCTGTTCCTGTCTTTTAAAAAGCAACACTAAAGGACAACCTCCTCTTTTCTCAAAAAAAAAATGGATCCACCCAACCTTTAAAAAGGAAAACAAACTGCCTAGGTGCCACCTAAGCAGCGCTCCCTAAAACCTGCCCAGCCTGTCTGTGCAGCCAGAGGCCTGTAATACGAGCTCCTTAGGTTGACAAACACAGATAATGCACCAGTTGGCTCCTGTCAAACAGTATCGGTAAAGACCTGGGATATGTTGTTCTCCTTTCATATCACATGCACCCTTGCATATCTTCACATACCACCACATGGAAGTGGTCACCACCTCAGAATGGCAGCCGCTACCTTGGATGAATATCATCATGGCAACTGACCATTGAGAAAGAGGTGTGATGACTGATGGCAGGAAGAAATGTTCCCTCAGCTCAGTGATGTGTTGTTATTAAACCAGTCACTGTGATCATCGTGTACTTGTTTTAGCACGCAATATCTGGTCATTTCTTATTTGTTTGTTCTTTTGGGGAGAGCAGTGTGTATGGAGTGACAAATTAGATGGACTTTGTTTGCATAAACCTACACTGAAAACAGTGGTTGTGTGTGTGTGTGTGTGTGTGTGTGTAAGAGGGACACAGCTGAAGAGAGAGATATGGATTAAGACAGGATGATAGAGGAAGACTGTGTGAACAAGAGACAGCAGAAAGTGAATGTGTGTAGTGATGCACAAGCCTGTACAAAAGTCTGTCACTCCAGCATGAAAAGAGGAAATTGAGCATTAATTAGTGTTATTGTGTTTGCAATCATCCACAAGAATGGCTTGGTATGACACATCCAAAAATGGATGGAGGGAGAAAGTAAAAATAGCTGCTCATGGGGGAAAGAACTGGCAAACAAAACTGTTTGTCTCTGTGTGTGTGTGTGTCACGGTTCAGCTCAGTGAGTGCCCCAGACCTATACAGTGCCATGTCAGTGTTTAGATATTTCAGTTAAGAGCTCTCTCAATGAGAGGGGCAACTTGTTCAAACTGGCTGCTGGGTAATCATATGGATGCAGATTAGTCAATAGGCAGAGCAGGAAAGGCCCCAGTGCATGTTGGGAAGCAGCTCGGGGGGTGGGTGGTGGTGGTGGTGATTGTGATGATTACATAATACAGCCATGTGCTTATAAAGGGGTCAGGATAAACAAATGGGGGAGATAGATGCCATCATCACCATCCTCTTCAGATCAGTAAGGAGAGCCCTTTGGGGCTAATGGTGGAGTCAATTAAAGGGTAATACCACAGTTTTTTTTTAAGTTGGTGTCACTTTAGGTTCCTCCTTCTGCTCACAGTCAGCATGGCACTGCACTGTCATTCATTTTCAAAGTACAAAAATGAAGTTCAAGGGAACAATAAAATCCACCATATCTTTAAAGCTCCTCTAACTAACTTTCACCTTCCAACTTTGTACCATTAGAGAGTGAGTGAGAATCAAAACAAACTCCAGCAGTATCCCCTCCTCTTCTCCCTCCACTCCTCCTGCCTTGTCTGTGAAAGTATCTCATATGTGGTAACTACAGCCAGAGACAGACTTGGCAGTCAGACAGCAGAACAGTAATATTAATGCGTATGGAATATAGCACATTAGAGCCTGTGGTTTTCAGTGGCATTGCAGCGACAAGGGTCCTTTTTCTTATCTAAAGCAGTAACATAAGTAAATTATCAAAAGGAATGTTTGTTTTCCAGTAATATTGATACAGTACTAATTTTCTGGCCACTATCACATCACGTTCAGTGTTACATACATAACATTATAACTAGGAGTTAAATGTGAAGCAAGAGAAATTACATGTTACGCTTTGATAGTTGAACAAACTCCCCACTTTTCTAGTTGTGGTCATTTCATAAGTTTTAACAATTTCTCACTAAAATGCTACATGGACTGCAGTGTTATGTTCGGCATAAACCAGTCCAAAACTGAGCAAAAATTAGCAAAATTACTTCATTTGCTAATCCTAAGGTACAAAATTGAAACGCTAACATTAGCATTCTAATGATGCTGACATATACACGTTAGCCAGATATAGTACTTATGTGTCTAGAAAGAAGAGAGCCACATCCATGTCAAATTTTACAGGATGCTTTTATTGCTCTCCATCGCCAACATGCCAAACTAATGGTACACTCTTTCTGTGCTACAGAACGTGGCCTCTTGGGTCTAACAGGTCTGCTCCCATCCTGGGTTGTACCTGCACAGGGAGCCTTCACAGTTCATCTTTGAAATGAGCCATACTGGTTTAAAAAATGCATCTTATAACCTTGGATCGGGGGTATGGAGGAAGTGTAGCATAAATTTTAACAATAGAGGTCACAGAGGGAAAGAAATGATCACATTTGAGTAACTGGAATAAGCAAATGTTTGGCTTTTTTGATCAGTAAATGAGTAACAAACAAAACTGTTTACACTATGCTACTCGTATCACAGCTACTTACTTGTGTTGTCTTTTTAGCATATGTCAGTTCACTTCAAGTTGTATTTGACAGCATTTGAATTTTGAGGTGAATAATGATCAAATACCAATTATGACAAAGTTTAATTTTGAAGAACAGTGAAGAAATGTTTGAAAAGTCTACTAACACATGTCTGCAGTGCAGACTGAGAAGAAGAGAATGGGTTATAGCCAGTAGTAAATGTACCATTGGCTTACTGTCTAAAGGCTGCCGTAGAGATAGCAGTACATATTTTTGACCAGAATGGCTAACACTACAAAAGCACCTATAGTATATTGAGCATGATGCTGAGTTTGCGTGCAGTATACCAATTAAATGCACAGCACTATGAGGATAAATTCTCTGTCGTAGATAGAGTACACTGTCATGGCGATTGCCTTAAAATCTGAGGCTTGTCTTTAGTTCAGTCAGACCTCTTAAACTCTCATCTCATCTCAGCTTGTGTTCTTGTGCCTTTGTGTGTGCGAGTGGACACAGTGTGCGTTTGTATGGTTCCTCCCATCTGCAGCGTGCAGGCTAAGACACGTGTAGATTTATTGACTTTCACCTCACCACTTTGTCACTGCATGTATCATCTCATCGTAAAAATAGGGATAGAGTTTCTAAACAAGCCACACCACTGTTGTCACAGAGAACCAGTGCCCAAGGATGAATACAACTATTCTGTGTATTTATGGTTATATATACGTAGTTCTCCTTGTTCTGTTTGTTGTGATGCATGAGAGCAAGCTCTTCTCACCGAAAATTAGGACATGAAACACATGCAACCCTCTGTGTGGACGCATCCACTGAATAGGCAAACAAAGAGGTAACGAAACACATACACACAGGAATAATTAATCAATAGTGTTTCCATTAGAAAACTGGAAAAGGGACAAACTGCACCATAATTAGGGACCATTGCAGAGCTGCTCCTCTAAAGCAGCAAATCAAGATGAATGTGCACACACGTGCAGACAAAAACTGTTTCCTCTCCTTTCTGCTTTGGGTAGTTTTTGCAAAACCTCATTTGGTAACAGATACTTAATGACCACAGATGACTCAATAATGTCCAGTTATATCATCAAAGGTGGAAAAATGAAGAAAACAAATGATCGAGTGAGTACTGGGCAGGAGAATCCAGTGACATAGGCTCACCTGCCACAGCGCTGTCAAAAGAAAGGAAGAAGAATCAGACTTTACAGATGAAATGACTAGAATGTGACACTGAAGTGAGCAATAGAAAACAGGGATTCTTATTTGGTTAGAAAAGTGAAAATCTACTCAGATTTTACACGATTATAGCCTGAAGTGCATTTAGAGGTGCAGCCATTTCTATTGGAATTGCAGAACTGCTGCTGTTGGTGCTGCAGTGCACCGAGGATGTGAAAAACAGATTTGGCAGGATTACATAATCAAGTGAGACTAAGTCACTGAGGACTCCTGATCGGTAGGCTACCTGCTGTTTCTATTTCTGTCATCATCTGCCTTTCTATCCATCCGCGCGTTTTGCACTTGTTGAATAATCCGATAGCTATTGTAATACTACATTTCCGCCTCTATGGGGACTTTTCCATTGCATGGGAGCAGGTCTTTGTTGTCAAAGGATTCTGATTTATGAAGGTAATAAAATGAAAGCAAACCCGGACTGCAGAGAAGAGCTGGCATCAAGGAAATACTGAAGGTTGCACTGCATGAAATGGTTGCCGTAAAGTCACAAAAAGATTAATAATATTCATAATAATGAGCTTACTCATAACTGAGAGGAGGGGGTGAGGAGATTACAGGCCTGAGATATTACAGTGCAGCACCTAATGCAGCATATTTAGCCAAAAAAAACCCTAACACACTAAGTGATTATATTTTTGTTTAGAAATAAAACAATATTCCTATTTAAATAAACCTGTTACGGGAATTTTTCCAACAGACATGACAGATCACATCAGTGGTGTCAAAAAATATCAAATTTGGCTAAAGGAAATGACCAACAGCACGCTTCCATTGTTTTTCAACTGTATTATAAAACGTAATGGTTTAAAATTCAATGATGGTCATGCAATATGTGCGTAAAAACTGTTTTACGCATGACACATAGATGACTGTCGGAATTGTTCATAAAGTAGTCATGTCTAAAAATAAATGTACTAAAGATGATTAACATGTTGTATGGTTGATGATTTTCCAAGCAAGGACCCTCACCCACCAGCCCCTTCCTCCCCTCACCTGTCCTTTTACTAGGCTGGCCGCAAACTGCCTCATGACCGCCTCCACCGTGTAGGCGCTGGACCATCCGCGGGGTGTCAAAAGCTCCATGCATATGGCCCCGCCGTCCAGCACGTAGCCGTTCTCTAACCGGGGCGTCAGGACCCGCATGAACGGCGGGGAGAAGGGAAAATTATCGGGAAAGGTGACGTTGAGCAGTATAAACTCGGTGCTGGTCTCCTTCATATCCTGCCACAGCGCCGAGTCCTTGTCCACCTGGTGCAGCTTGACGTTCCAGTCATACAGGTTGTCCTCCACCAGCTCCACCGTGATGAAGTTGTCCCCTAACCTCCTGATCTCTTGTAGCTCCTTCATCAGCCTCCGCGTCCGCACCTGGGTACAGTGTTGCCGGTGAGGCGCCAGCGGTGGTATCGAGGAGGCACTGGTCGCTTTACTCCCGCCTCCTCCCGTCTGCTGCTTCTCCTTCGCATCCTTGCCCTGCTTATCCTTGACGGTGGGCTTATCCTTGCCCTGCTGGTCCAGCTTCCTCGCCTTAATCTCCGGGGTGCTCAGGATGTTGGTTTCGTTGGCGGTCTGACAGTGTTTGTTTGCGTTGTTTTTCTGGTTCCCTTTGGTCCCCTTTAACGAACCCTGGTGGTGCTTTGGGTCCTCGGTGTCTCGATCGTGCAGACGGATTAGCCCGATCTTCCGCAGTAGGGTGGCCATAATTTTTATAGATCTATATTTATCCGCTGATCCCCCCGCACAGGGGCGAGATTCACCCTTTCAATTCCCACTCACAGAGACAACCTTTAATGGTGCTGATTATTAACCTTGTTGTACCGCAATCCCCCTTCCGCACACTGCAGCCTCAGGGTGAACACGACCGTGGAGCGTGTGCCGTTTTCTCCTCAGTGCACCATCTCGACACTGCTCCACTAAAAGCAAAAGCAAAAACAGCGAAACAGCAGATAACGGCAAAATCTGAATATACACTCAAAGACAACACCACAATAAACTGTCATATCAGATAAGTAGTATTCAGCCTCCTTTTCACAAGTGGACAGGCATTATAACTGTGACTGCAGCTGTTCAATGATAGGACGATGCATTACGCAGAAGCGCTGAGGTGATAATACATTGGGGTGCATACCATATTACCTTAGCACCAGAGAGAAAAGAAAAAACAGGGTGAGGAACTTGCCATAGGAAAACAACAGAGGGCACCATATAAGCTATAGGACGGACGATTATAGGATGGAAAAAACCCTATAATCCATTGCAAAGTATAGGTTATTATGAGCCCTCAGTGTGTCTGAGATAAAAGTCTGATTGAATTTAACCTAATGATTACAATACTTCTCTAGGAATGGTACGGGAGTAATATAGAAACACTGGGTAAGGGAAAATAAAATAGGCTAATGAGGTCGCTACAAACGGACTGTAAACACATATATGCACAATAAGCTGCTGTATATATTCTATCTCATATGAGGTATAGGCCTATAAGAGCTCGGCGCATTCCAAACAGCTTACACTATGAATCCCTATCAGAGGAACCCGTTCATGTGCGTTCTCCTGCCCACACAGACCCAACATTAGAACAGCAAACCGACAGCAGTCCTTTCTTACCACAGACGCATGAAATCTTGCCGGACACCGATCCCGCTGAGTGTAACAAGAAGAAATGGTTCCACCATCCAGTAGACCTGCCGTCGGTGGCAGCTACGGTGAGAAAGAGAAGGAGAACCTTCGATGGATGTGCAGCTGCGGCAGCTACAGCCAGCCCCCGGTGATCCTTCTCAGCCCGTCTGTTCTCCTAGGTGAAACGGCA